CACATAGGTGGCATTGGGTGCTTCCTTTTGTGTCACAGAGGGGCCCATGATAGACTAAATTTAGACTTTTGTCCCTTTGTTGGCAGTGCTTGGTTTGATCACCTGGTTCATGTGGTGTCAGCCAGTTGTCACCACTGAAAAGCTACCTCTTTCCCTTAGCAAATAAGAAGCAATTTGTGAATATCTGTTTCCCTCTAACCCTTGCACCCAGTGGCCTCAGCATTGCTGATTGCTGATCCGTCCCTGAATCTACTTTGCTGTGGAGGATTGGAAAGGGATGTCTTCCTGGTTCCGTCTTCTGTGTCTATTAGCTAGTATCCTGTAAATGGCGGATCCTTATTATTATTTTTTAATTTCACTATGAACTCTCAGATTCAGTTTATTCTTAAGCTGTTTTTTGTTGGACGTCATACCCTTTGCCTTGAGAAGTATTTACCAAACTATGAAATACTAGTCCTGTGAAATATTCTAAGAAAAACTAGCATACGATGATTAAATAATTTGCAGAACATAATGTATTTGTATCTTACAGTGTTACATAATCCACATTAGGATACTGAAAACCACAAGAGCCTATTTAACTTTGTTTAGGCTGGTGTTTCTCAAACTTATTTGACCATGGAAATCTTTTTCCTATTCAGCCTTAGTACTTGATGGGACATATTCACAGAACGCTGGCCAAGAGCCAACTCTATTAATTTTAAATATTTCATCAATAATATGAAATCAAGACTGATGATGGTGATGGTTGGTATATCACTGTTCAGTAAACTATGATTACAATTGTTATTTTCCTATTATCATATTCATAAGGTCAACTCATCATACCCCTGAGGGGCTGGAGGTCAACCCTAAAATAGGCAAAGATTTCTTTAAAAGAACACAAAACAATTAACCATCAAATAAAACATTGGTGCATTGACTTCATTAAAAGTAAGGACTTCTGTTTATCAGGAGATATCAACAAGAGTGTGAAAAGGCAAGCTTCAGACTCGGATAGTACACTGTACTTACAAACATGTGCCCAGAAAATGTAAAGAACTCCTACAAATAAGTAAGTAAAAGATTAAATAAATCTTTTTTGAGTCACTTAATAAAACAGTAAATAAAACATTTACTAAATGGGCAAAAAACATAAATAGCCACTTCACAAAAGAGGGTAACCAATGACCAATAAGCATATAAATATATTGGCCTTAGAGAAACATGAAGTAGAATCCACAACGACATACCACCACGCTCCCACCAGAATAAAATGAAAAATGACAAAGCCTGACAGTGCCAGGTATGTGTGTGGAAGGTGGAGTTGATAGATGCTGTGAGGCACCACCTGGACCTCCTTTCAGTCAAGTGGCTGCTGCCCTGCTGCTGAGTGCCAACAGTCTTCACTCTCTGATCCTTCAGGGATTGCCTCTGCATCTTGTTCAAGGTCACAATGACTGACAGGCAGAGGGTACAGAGGACTAAACCATCTGGGCCCAACTCTAAGGGCCTCATTCTAACTCCCCCTGTCTGGGGGTTGTAGGCCCTGCATTGCACAACTTCTCCCTCTGGCCACCCTTACTTCCTCTACTCCCTTCCACAGGAGTTAATCCCAAGGACATTTGGTAATATGCATCCTGCACACTAAGCTCTATGTCACAGCCCACTTCCCAGGCAATCCATCGTTGACATGGTGCAACTGGAGTTCTCACATACTGCTTGTTCGTGTAAACTGGTACAACCACTTGATAAAACTATCAATGTTTATGAAAGTTGACAGTCAAATCTTGTCATTCTGCAATTCCCCTCCTAGATAGTGACCTAGGAGTGAGTATTGTGTCTGTCCACCAAAAGTCATGTACACAAATGTTCATAGCAGTTTTATTCATAATAGACTCAAACTGGAAATACTCCAATGTCCATCAACTGTACATTGTCTCCTCTCCTCTTCTCCCTCTCTCTTTTTTTTTTGGATGGGGTCTCCCTCTGCCACCCAGGCTGGAGTGCAGTGGCCTGATCTCAGCTCACTGCAACCTCTGCCTCCCAGGTTCAAGCAATTCTCCTGCCTCAGCCTCTAGAGTAGCTGGGACTACAGCCACACACCACCACGCTTGGCTATTTTTTGTACTTTTAGTAGAAACGGGGTTTCACCATGTTGGCCAGGCTGGTCTTGAACTCCTGACGTCAGATGATCCACCTGCCTTGGCCTCCCAAAGTGCTGAGCTAACAGGCACGAGCTATTGCACCCAACTCGCTCCCTTTCTCTTCCCTTCCTCTAGAGACTACAGGGGTCAGAGGAATTCTCACGCTCACAACTGATCCAGGTCCCCTCACCTGGACAGAGTTCCCACATCAGCATTTGGAGGCCAAATATCTAATAGCAGCATTTTCCAAATTGTGCTCCAGAGAGTGCTACTGTGTAAAATCTAAAGAAAGTGTCCTGGGGTCTAGTTAGTTTTGGGACATGAGTGGAATTTGAGTTTTTTCCAAGATGTGAAATCTGTTATGTGAGGTTCCCAAACTTGCTTGACTCTATCATCATTTTCAGCAAAACCTCTCATGGTACAAGACCTCTTCAGAACACACTACAGAGCTGTGCTGTAACAAATGTCAACATTTTAAACTAAAAATCTTACTAAAACCTAAAAACACCTGGTATTTAACTATAGGCATGGACCCAGCATTTATTCTTCAGTGTAGTATCTGATACATAGAACCCTTTGCCCTGCTGTCCCCAACCTGCCTCTGTATCCCCACTGCCCCTTGCTAATCCTATTTTTAGCCTGAATTCTTCCTTAGAAGTAGACCCAGCCTCTAACAGCAGAGCCCTGAGGCCCTGCTGTACTGTCATCCACCTCAACTCTGTCACACAGACACCTCAAGTTCCCAGGAAGGTCTAGCTCAGGCTGATGCACAGATCTTGAAAAGAACAGAGCCAGCAGCAGTCTCTAGGGCTGTGCCTGGGACGTCGGCTCAGCCTGGATTACTGGGATGCTGACATGTGAAAAGTAGGGGAGGTACAAAGTATTTCTTGCCAGTAGACTAAACTGTGTCTGTCTTGAGAGAAAAGGGAACGGCAAGGAGATGGGACTAGGATGTCTGTAACATCGGGGTTTATGTGTAGAGACCATCTGTGTATTGCGGCAGTGCCAGATGCAGGTGTAACCTCTCAATAAATAATAGCTAAATGAGCATGGAATGAGTGGATTCAATTTAAGTAAAAGGACTAACAGTGGGGAAAGGGTCCTTTAGAGTTGTAAGCTTGTTAGAAGTTAGAAGAGTTAGAAATTAAGTGGCAGAGTTAGAAACTCAACTCTGCCACTTTATTAGCTGTGTGACTTTCAGTGATTCATTTTTAGTACTTAGAGCCAGTTTCTCAGAAATAACATCGAGTTATTTATCCTTCTACCTATGTTCATGTACTTACATATGTGTATGTGCATAGGAAGATGCTGGGAATGATTTACATCCATTGTTAACGTGGCTGTTTTGGGGAACTGGAAGTTGGGGTGACCTTTTCTTCGCTTCACTCATCCTGATTGTTTTTAAAGGTATAAAAGCACATCACACTCAAAATAGTGTAAAATTGTAAAGATGAATCATTGATAATGAAGTCTTTAAAATGGGAGGATCTAAGTTTTTTTTTATAAAAAAATTCCCATAAGCTAAACCAAGGATCATTCCTTCAGTTTCTTTATTCCCAGCTCATACATACTAAATAGCTCTTCGTATTTAGTCTTTCAAGCAGCTAGTCCTCTACCTATTTTCCCTGCTGAGAAATCCTGGAGGAATCCTTACAGACTAACATGAAGACTACTAAGAAAATACAGAAAGAAATAATAGCGTCTTACCTAGAATAGCAACAAATCTTTAAAACTCAATACTTCGATGTTGGGGATGTTGAATATTATCTAAAAACTATTTATAGGCCATGTGCGGTGGCTCACGCCTGTGATCCCAACACTTTAGGAGGCCGAGGCAGGCGGATCACGAGGTCAGGAGATCGAGACCATCCTGGCTAACATGGTGAAACCCCGTGTCTACTAAAAAAATACAAAAAATTAGTTGGGCATGGTGGCGTGCACCAGTAGTCCCAGCTACTCACGAGGCTGAGGCAGGAGAATGGCGTAAACTCGGGAGGCGGGGCTTGCAGTGAGCCGAGATTGTGCCACTGCACTCCAGCCTGGGTGACACAGCGAGGCTCTGTCTAAAAAAAAAAAAAAAAAAAAAAAACTATTTATAAAAATATTTATTAAAAATACTAGATAATATTCAACAATGTAAAACCAGTTGAAATTATGCATTTAACTGATGAAGAGCCACTGTTTTTTTAGTATTTACATGGCAAAATATTTTAAATTAAGAAACAAGTAAGAGGTTAACAGCTTCTTTCAGAAGTTTGTGATAATATTCTCTGCTTCATAGATCCTAGAGGTCAGCTGGGTTCCAAACTGGGCAGCACCTTATTCCTTTAGCTACATATATTTTCATTTGTGGACCTCTAACAAACAAATAATACAACTTGAGAGAATTTCAGAGTACTACTTTTTAGCCTCAAATATCTTCTTCCAACTTGGGATTTGATACATTTAAATAATTTATAAAAAAATGTACAAACACTTCAAATAAAATTATGAAGTTCTTCAGAAGATAATACTAAAATATAGGTATGTTTTCCTTTAAATATCTGGGATTCTATCTACAGTGCCTCTGTTATATTCATTCAAATTATTCTTATAATCTAAAACAATGAAGCGTCTCAACTGGTGGAATGCTGCCAGAGGATTTCAGCAGAGTTTGAAGGCAACATAACCAAAAGGCATAGTTTAAGTTGGCTTAGGAAATGAATGGGCTCCTTATCAGAGCAGCTGAAGGCTGTATACAATTAACAGCATCTGCCAACATTCACAGGGCCCCATATAGAACAAGCGGGCCCGACAGCCCCGCAGCAACCTTCAGCTTCTGGCACTCTCGGATCCACATGACGTGAAAACAGAAAGCCGGCTTCAAGCCATCACTAGAAGGACACAGAATCATTTTAGTGATATTGCTAATTCATATTAATTATTTAGAACAATTCTGTTAACCTTAGCATCAGGCTTCAAATTAGCCAGCTATCATTCAAAATATAAAATACCATTTGTAGAGATAAGTTTATATTTATAATAACTGATTTTACAATCTTTTCCATGTTATTTTTATTTTTAAAGACTATGAGAAGTATCTACCTACCTGCCTTTTTATATGATGAACTCTCAATTTAAATCAGCTAAAATATTTTTGCATGAGGAGTACTAAATTCATTATATGGCACTTTTTAGTTGTTTTTGTATATAATACATTTCTCTCATGAGCATGTACAAAACAAAGCAAATCCAGAGTTTCATTAAATAAATTTATTTGTTAAAATAATTTAACTCCAAATACAACTGTTGAATTTGCATTGAGTTATAACTACAATTCATGTTTTAATTGAAATGTCAAGGTTTAACAACTGACATTGTTACAAAACAATAAACTGTTGTTCAATTTTAAATGGTCAGTTGTATTAGAGCGCAACACTTAACTGTGAACTATATCTCTGGGAAACCTCAAATCAATAATGATAAGTCTGTTTCCAAAACCCACTGCAGTCATTCTTGAAACCCTGATCAAGATTTAATAGATGCACAATGACATGTTAAATAAAAAAAAAGAACCCCATAGTCCTTAATGTTTGATTGGCTAAGGGACAATTAAAGCTTACCCAGTGCTAACACAAGACTACTGATAAGAACAAAAAATTTAAAAAACACACAAGCAAAAAACAGCAACAAACAAAACAAAGCACTTTCATATTCATACATACACTGACAACATTAACATTCATACTGGAAAACCCTTGAAAACAAATACCAGACAGTCTTAGGCAACATTTCTTTATATAGAAAAGCAAATATCAGTAGTATTACCACAGAAAAGTGATGGCAACTGTAGCAATTCGAGTCAAAAGTTCAGTCCTAATTCTACAAACCAAAGGAGAAAATCATCAAAGCACCTTTCGATAGTTTAAGAAAAGATTTGATGTAATACTTTTGATCAGATGCTGGCTTGTTTTGTTTAAGTTGAACAAAATGAAAGGCATCAGTTACCATCACTATCACAGTTTAAAAGAACCCAAAAGTTGCAACATCAAAAGAAAAAAAATTCAAAGATGCTGCCTTTGTATAAAAGTAAAAAAAAGAAAATCTTATCACAAGAGCTAAAGAAAAAGTGGGTCTTTGGATCAAACCATAATATTTTTAAGGCATGTGAGAAAAACTTTCACTTATCTAAGTTGCTAGTCTGATCAGGGCATAAAATAAATCGTGACACAAGGTCAACTTTCTTCTGTAGCCACTAAGGTTTCATATGCCAACAAATGTAATCTTCCTGTTCTTAAGCATTTTATTACTGTAATATCTCAACAAACACATTCATTTGCCAACTGAGTTATATTCACACCAGATGGATAGGAATTTCCAGTTTCGGGATGTCCTTGATGCCTTGGTCACCAAATATGCAGGGCTGCGTGGAAACACTGATCAGGCAGCCAGATCAGTTATTATTCATGTCTTGACAGTAAAAGCCCACCTTGTCATCTGACACAAATGTTTTTAACTATTAATACAATTCAAAATTTTAGATCATTTTTTCCACTTTACATTCTGCCATATCTTTCATATTATTTAACCTATTTTCACATCTGCATAGCAAGTCATAATGTCAAACTGTGGGATCTTTATAGATATTTCTATTTTGCAATTTTATTTGTCAAACATTGCTATTAGTTATAGAATTCAAAAGAATCATTCTGAGAAGTTAGAGGAATCAAAACTCAACCAATTCACTAACAAGTATTTTTATTTCAGTAGAGAAATCATATATCTTGAATCTCCAATTTCTCTACATGTTTGAATCAAACCAACTTTTATGCAGTGAAATGCGTTTCAATAAAATTGGTTAAAAATTTTTTCCTATAAACAAGGTGCTTCATAACTGAGGATTATAAAAAATTATACTGAAGAATGTAAATATTCAAAATTCAAAGATTTTTGACAACTATGGCCTGGTTTCATTCACCTATCTCTTCAGCTTTTTCATTATGAAAAATACTATCAACCTTTTTTTTTTTTTCATCCTCTAAGTTTAATGCCAGTTATTAAACATTTGGGGGGCTACCAATGATTTCATAAAAGTATAAAAGACACTTTAATAATTTAAAAGAAAAAAGTTTTTGATACACTATATTCTGCAGTATAGATTCTTAGTATAGGCAAATTATCTCTGACTTGTGCCAAATTCTTCAGAACAATAAACACACATGCACACACAAACACACACTCTTCTCTCAGTGACACACGTAAGACCAGAGGTTACTTGCACAACACTGTGAAACCAACAAAATGTGGGGTGGTGTATAGATCGCAGGCTCAGTGATATTGCAGTTCTGAAGGCCAAATTCTTCTCCCAAGGCCCAGCTCAAGATAATCTTTTCAGCATTTGTAACTGAAGTTAGCTGAAGATCCCTGTATACTTGATTGTAAAACTTATGAATAGGTTTTTCCTGTGCCATTAGTCATGCAAATGATAAATACTTCACGGCTATGAAAACCAAAAATGTCAGAGCTTGAGCACCTTTTCAAAACAAAATATTCACTCCAGCTTTATTTGACACTTCAGTAATCAGGGCAAAATTGTTCTAAGAAAACCTTTATATAATTCTCCAGGAAAATTAAAGATAAAAGGCTTTTGTCCCTTACCTTCCACTCTATAATTTATGTTCACTTTTAAGCCCAAATTATTTCACATGGTTATTCAATTTTTAAAATGCCTGCAATAAAGCTCTGCTACAGCAAACTTGATTTTGAAAGCAGGTTAGCCACAGGTTACACTACAACCATAGCCCTTAAAGGCGAGAAGGAATTTGCTGCTTTAATGAACTTAAAAATGCCAGATATTCGTACTGTCCTGTGAGGTTTCTGCAAACAGGAACATGTGGATGCAACATGGCTTCATTTTCCTTACATGATGGTACTAGTTTATCTATTAGAATGCTTCTTGTTAGTAAGGCTAGGTAATCTCTTCCCATCACAGTTGCTTCCCTCTTGTTCAGTAAAGTTACAAAGACCACCCCTGCTCAGTTAACAGAGGGCGGGGTCGGGGTTTTAATTCTGATCAAACCCTTGTGAAAGCCTCCATTTTCTGTGGCAAAGCAGGTGATTTAACAAATTCTAAAGCCAGACTATTTTTATATAACCTGTTCTGACTTTTGCTCTATCAAGGATTGAAGCATGAGTTAGTTCCATGTCACAAATTAGAGTAACAGCTACAATTAAGCATCAATTTTGAAAAACAGAAATGTGTTAGCTGAGCAAAGAATCTCTCCCTGTAATGCTGTTGGCAGGTCAGCTGTTATTATCTTACTTGACGAAATACATTGGTTAGAAGCTCTATCCCAATTCCTGAAATTCAGTACTCTTGTAGGAAAATATTTCTCCTTTACTTATTTTTTTAAAGAAGACAAAATATTTTAATTGTAAGTGGTCATAGGAATTCTTCTGGTTTCTCCCTTATGGTTATTTTTAATTTATACAATAGTTGCTTCTGTCAACTCAGCGACAATGCCATCATAGCTTTCAAATGAGATCACCCTGTAGATCGATGGACTATGCCTTAAAGTTGCAGATGCATAAAGGAGACTGAGGACAAATGGTGAAAACTGTAGTTACTGAACCCAAATGTTACTCAGAGATATCAACTGACAACCACTGCTCAATTCTGAATAAGGGCTGCAGTTCTCTGTAGATTAACACCACGCATCCTGCAAGTTCTGCAGTGGAGTAGGCGAGTTTTCTATCACCTACGACATTGGGCAAATCCCATCCAGGACAGCCATATTTGGATGCTATTGTATGTTACATGCAGAACAGCATGGGTCATCTTTGTCAGGCTGAGCAGCATAGTTCATCTGCCTCACAATTTCTGCAAAGAGTTCGTCCACCATTGTTTTACTCTTAGCGGAAGTTTCCATAAAGGGGCAGCCCCACTCTTCAGCAAGTGCTCTGCCTTCATTGGACGATACTTCTCTCTCACTTTCCAGGTCCACTTTGTTCCCGACCAAGATGACTGGCACTTTCTCATACCTATGAGAGAATACACAAAACACACAGACATTGTAATAGCACAAAGTTAAACAGGTCACGTGGATTTTTGTTTTGGGGGGCTATTCCAGCATAAATGATATCTTCAGTTGCATGAAAATGATTTGTACCACTTGGCTTGATACTTATCTGAGGGCATTTGAAGCTGCTCTCACAGTGGATCATAAAATGAGTTTTATGAAATGATGTTTTAATTAATCAATTATACATCCTTTAAAATCAATTTATCTTTCCAGATATACTTGGAAAATTATTCTCAGAAACTCAGACTAAATCCTCTTAATTTTTTTTCTATTCTGAGGGAGGGTTGCACAAAATTTCACAGTTGATCACATAATAAATAACTCCAATGAGCAAACAACTTATAATTATCAGCATTTCACTATGTTCTATGTGTATAAAATTGATCATGTTCATATAAAAATTAGCCGAGTATGGTAGCAGGTGCCTGTAGTTCCAGCTACTCAGGAGGCTGAGACAGGAGAATCGCTTGAACCAGGGAGGCAGAGGTTGCAGTGAGCTGGTATCATGCCACTGCACTCCAGCCTGAAAAAATGATCATGTTCGTTCTAATAGTTCTCAGATAAGAAAAAAGCTAGTAGAAATCATCCAAATGGAAGCCATCAAATACAACCACACCCCATCCCTTCAGAAAACTTTTATGGATTAGTCAGTTCAAAGAGAAACAATTAGGATTCTTTTAAGACTGACAAGAATTCAGCCTCAATTAGCTTTAATTGGTGTTATTTCTCTTTTTCTTCCTAACTAAAACAGGTATCTCTGAGTAAACATGTTTGGAAAGAGCTAAACTAATAAAAATAGTAAGTGATAAGAAAGAACAAAGAAAAAAGCTCCTAAGTCATTTTGGTGCCTAAGATGATTGTCTCTACAATGGTTACTCCATGTAGCACAGGTCACAACAGATGTCAGCGCTGGTGCTGGCCTGCACATTTATTTACTATTCTTGTTTATGTTTGTTCTAAGAAAGGTAGCTAAAATATTTTCACAAGACATTTTAAAAGGTTTTTGTGATTTTAGTATAAATCAGTGTGTGTGCGTATGTGTGTGTGTCTTCCCCTAAGCAGAGTGTATTTCTGATTTAAAAGAGGTAAACAGCAAGATCACACATAAATGATAACAAATGTGACTGGACACTGTTAATCTATCAGAAGAGAAAACCCACCCCATGGTCAAATCTTTGAGGCAGGATGCACAGACAATTTTTATCATTCAGTAAACTGGATAATAGACAGGTGGTTATTGTTTGCTATACTTCCACAAATTTCATCATCCTGTCAAGAGGGTTCTCTCCACTCACCCTAACTTGTAAAGCAAACCAAATTCCCAACAGTCTCACTTTTTTCTTTGCCACTATATCAAACTAAGAATGGTCTCAACAAGAGGGCACACTCCAGATAGTGCGCCATTGGCAATGTGGAACATGAAAACAACTTAAAAATGACTGGAAGTAACAACATCAAAGGCAAACCTAGAAGTTGGATATTATCATTTCGTAGGAAATGAATCTGGACAACTTCAATTTATATCAAAGGACTTTATATAAATTTACTGTACACTACTGTATCTTATGATTTCAGGCCTTAGATCATGCTGACAGCTATGAACATAAGACACAAGGGTTTTTTAACATCTTCTAGGACTCTTACATACAAACAATTTGTGCATCCCATGGCCTATGGGCGGGCAAGTGGCAGTGAGAATAAAGCTGCATTACAGAACACCATATATTTGCTACTTTGCATATAAACTCTCTTGATAGGCTATACAGAGAAGCTTGGCAGGGAGCAGACACTGCCAGCCATGTCAGGACAATGTCAGTTTCCAGTTTGTGTTACTTGCAAAATGTAATTACATTTCATTTTTCTTATGAGCGTATATACATCACAGTGTGCTTTAAAATGCTCTGCTTGGCAGTGAAGTAATTAAAAAACATTAATAAAATTAAGTAAAACTTATTGGTTGAATTTAAGTTGAAACAAATTTCGGTCTACGAATAATAAAAAGTGGTAAGACATCACTTTCTATTAGCTGAGATAAATGATAAATATTTTAAAGAATATAAGTTTAAATACAATACTATATCTTTTTTTTTTTTTTTTTTTTTTGAGACGGAGTCTTACTCTGTCACCCATACTGGACTGCAGTGGCGTGATCTTTGCTCACTGCAAGCTCTGCCTTCCAGGTTCACGGCCATTCTCCTGCCTCAGCCTCCCGAGTAGCTAGGACTACAGGCGCCCGCCACCACGCCCCGCTAATTTTTTGTATATTTAGTAGAGATGGGGTTTTACTGTGTTAGCCAGGATGGTCTCGATCTCCTGACCTCGTGATCCGCCCGCCTCGGCCTCCCAAAGTGCTGGGATTACAGGCGTGAGCCACTGTGCCCGGCCTATATCATGTTTTATATGTGAAATATTTCTTACACTTTTAGTTTAGTGGAGGATCTACTAGAATATGTAGATTTTCAAAACTTGCAAAGACATCAAATTATTAAGTTATATTGATACACTATTAAAATCAAGAATTTGAATAAATCTTACCATCAGCCTGATTCTCAACACAGTAAATAAAATATTGCAAACACAATTCCACATATAACAGCATTTAATAACTGGTAAATGTAGATGAAAATGCAGTCAGTATCAAAGAACCTGTTTATTATATCACTAACTTAATTGTCAGTGGTCTTTTCTAAAATCAAGTTACTAAAGACACTAGAGAAATCCACATTAATATCCTCAGAAGATTTTTAAACTGAATAAGACGTTCAGAAAAAAAATTATGTACATTTCAGAATACCAGACAGTGATAAATTTTGTCTCTCTTTCTGTTAAAATTTGGGACAGAAGAAAAGATTCTACACTCAGATTTGGAGGCTCTGCTTCCAGTTCTGCCAATGAGATCATTTCCTTTACATATCTGTATTTCATTTCTTTGTTAGTAAAAAGAGAGTAAGAATATCTGTTCCCACTTAACACAGGGTTGCTGTAAAGGTCAAATGAGATAATACTGAAAAAAAATCAAGTACTAGATAAAAGGAGGGTGGTTGCTTCCTTCCCTTCCTAACTCTACTGATGTGGCCTTGAGAAGCCATGAAGGGTGAAGAAGGAGCCAGAGAAACTGATCAAAGGAGGTAAAGAGCTCCTGAGGGCAAATCGAGTTGAAGATGGAGCTGGGGGAAGAGACAGGCAAAAAACAGATGGGAGTCAAAACAAAGCAGCCACCAGACACTAACCAGTCCCTGTGCTGAACAGCATGGTGATGGGGGGGCGCGTAGGAAAGCAGAAAAGCAAGCATTCCCAAACAGCAGGCACTCGAAAGAAAATACTGGCCCCCGTGGGGAAGGCATTCTAAGAAGGCTTTGGGTTGGGGTGACAGAATAGGGTCCCCATATGAAGGTAACATTTGGAGAAATCTGGATCCTCCTTAAGAAAGACGGGTGAGAAGTTGAAGGGAACGAAGCCAAGCCCTGTGTTGACAGTAGATGACTGCACTGCACGAGGAAGCTGGTGTTGCTGTCTGTTTTAGCAATATGGTGGGTTTAAAAAAAAAAAAAACCAAACAGACTAGGATTCCTGTCCCAGAACTGCCTCTAGCTAGTACTGTGAATTTAGAAGATTAACCTCATCTTGGTTTCCTGCATTTCTTGAAGTATAAAATGAGCTGGACTGGATAATTCCTAAGATGCTCCGAGGTTAAAAATCACAACAGACGTGGTGGGTCACACCCACCATCAACATGTACCACTGACTGGGCTAATTGCTGAGTGCTAAGCACTGTCCTAAGAATAACGTCCAATGGGCTGATCTTTAAGAGATATGAAAGTGCACGTCAGGAGTAAAGCCAAAAATGTTGGGGGAAATCTCATGAGATCTCAGGGGACCAAAACACAAGCAGGAAGTTTCACTTCTACAAGTGGAGCCGCTACTGCCAGCATGCTCTGACTCAACAGCAGACCTCCAAAATGCACTCATGACCTAGGCAGTTCCATTTCACAGACAATGTTGTTTAAATACAAATATTTGGGATGGTTTTAACTACGTGAATACTGAAGGCTATACTGAAAACTGCCTGATGTGGCATAAATAGCTAGTAATGAACAATCAATCCATCATGTACTTATCCATCCACTCAACACATATTTATATGCTAAGTGCTAGCCACTATTCTAGACACTTATATCAATGGACAAAGCAAATAAATCTCTGTAATTTCACAGTGCTTACAGTCTAGCAGAGGGCACAGATCAACAATAAACATAAGTCAATTCTGGGTTTACAATAAAAGTGTTAAGTGCAATGGAAAAAAAGATGTGGATCAGGTGGTGGGTGGGGAGCACAGGTGCCACAATTTTAAATAAGATGATCACAGGCCTTGTTGAGAAAGTGGCTGTGAACAAAGATGGGAAGGGTCTCTGGGAGTCTGCTCCCTACCGCGCAGGTTCTAGGGGAAGAGCATTCTAAGGATGACATGCCCTAGACAACGCCTGAGCCAGTGAGAGCGTGCCTGTCAGTGCAGCGACCAGCTGTGGGATCCATCCTTACGGCCTCCTGCAGGACTCTGGCAGTGGAGGAAATGTTCATTTGAGGCTAGACCTCAGGAATTCGGGTGCCAAAAGTGGCCTCAGAAGACAAATCTGGCACTTATGACAGACTAACTCAGAGAGGGCTGACTGTTATTTAGGAAGATGAGGCGCTTTGTTAGTGCATGATGACTGTTACTTTCATGTTCTATTTTCATTATCAGTTTTGCGGGTTGCCTTCATTTTCCCTCTTTTCTAAACACATCATTTGGACATAAAGCTAAAGATGCAAAATTCTAAAACTGTTCAATGGATGTGTTATTGTTAACCTGATCATGGGTAAGATGCCACCTTGCCTACATCTTAAACATCAGCAGATATCTCACCAACTGCAGCCTGTCTTCCTTGAAATTTCCTTTAAGGGCATGACCAGGTCAGACAG